CTGAAGACATCGTTCTAATAACACCAAACATTAGCCAAGCGGCACAAATGCTGGCCGACTTCGATCGTGAGTGTGGAAAGGTCAGACTACAGCTGAATCTCACGAAGACAATGTTTATGAGAAACGGTCTCGTTCCTGATGCTCCATTCCCTCTCAAAGGGACAAACATCTCCGAATGCAACAGTTATGTGTACCTAGGTCAAGAAGTCAACATGACCTGGCACTTGAGTTGTGCAGGAGGAAGAGAGCAGCTTGGAACGCCTTCAAGAGCATCAAAGAAATAGCTAAGAGGATGAAGAACCTCCGGCTCAGGGCACATCTCTTTCATTACACTGTTCTTCCTGCATTGACATATGCCTCAGAGACCTGGGCCCTACGCAAACAGGATGAGAACGCTATTCAGGTCTCCCAAAGAGGAATCAAAACAGCTATGCTTGGAGTATCACGCTTCACTCCAATGAGAGAAAGAATTCAGAGTTCCAATCTCCATCGACGATCAAGAATCAGGGACGCTGATTCTTTTACCAAGGTGTCGAAAATCAGATGGGCTGGACACATAATGAGATTTAGAGACAACTGCTGGACTAGAGCCATTACCAACTGAATTCCATGGGACGTCAAAAGATTGCGTGGCCACCCAACTATGATATGGTCAGACTTCTTTGTCAAGACCCTGAATGATTGGTTTGAGGCTCTTTGTGTTCCTAGAACGAGCAGATGCCATTGGGCTACACTAGCATGAGACACGGATGAATGGAGACGTTACTGGAGCCCGCTTGAGTAAATTGATGAGTAACAGGATGTCAAGTGATCAACTGATCAAGTGAAGGTGAGCTGGAGAGATAGATCACTACCAGATGAGGCCCCAAAATCAAAAGCTTAAAAAAGTAAATTAGACTAAAGAGTAGGAGATATGTGTTTGTGTGTTAGGTTCTTGGAATCAGAGCAGAAATGAGATCAATGGCCAAGACTCAGAGACTATAAAATCCAGCTCCCGGACGAGACCAGTGCAGTCTCCTGCCCCCGCGCCTGGCTGTTCCTCGCCGGGGCCCCTTGGAGGGGAGTGGGTTGAGCTTTCCTTCCTGCCCTGACCAGGGCTCCAGCGGCCGAAGACCTCCAGGACCAGCCACCACCATGCTGAGACCACTCTCCGCACACATGAAGGTACTGGCAGAGGGACAAAGCCACGCGGGTTCTGGGGCCGAGATCTCCAAGCCTACTCGGATTGGAGTCGAGCATCCTCCACCCAGATCCTCCAGATTCCAGTAGGTAGGGGTCACACCCACCACCTGGCCCCCTGGCGCCGTGTAATCCCATCAATGGCCAAGACTCAGAGACTATAAAATCCAGCTTCCAGAACCGCGCGGCCGCAAATGCGGCCATCTTATCAAGACATCTTTTTATGACATCTTATTATCTCATTCCTACTTTGGACAAACTTGCAGGCTATCGAATGTAGCCTGCCCACAGGGCAGAGTCTGGCAAACTCCCCGTGGCGTACCAAATATGCCAAATACCAGTAACAATGATGGGTCTCATTCTCCTAAAGAGCCTTGAATATAATCTCAGGGCTAGGATGAAAGAGACCTTACTGGGGCCTGCTCGAGGCAATTGATGAAGGCTGAGGATGCTGCTCAGGGACCAGGTGTGCCGGCAATAGGACCCACATTCAAAGCATGCACTCCAGTTCTTTCAGCAACCTCCCAGCCTTTATACTTTATAATTGAGTGCAGAGAGGAAGCACAGAGAGACATGTCATCTGCTTTCACCTGCAGCTAAAAGTAGACAGAAGGAAGAAGTTATTAGGGAATATTTCTTGGAGAAAGTGAACCTGAGGAGAGACTTGAGGCTTTTCTTGAATAGAACACCTGAACTTTCCTTTTCTTTCCTCCCATTTCCTTTCTCTATAGCCCACTAAAACAATTGTAGAACTAAGGTGCACATGCCTGCATCCCGTCACTTGAGATGTGTACTTTCTTAGCTTTGTATTGCCTGCATCTGCCTGAGATGTAGACTTTTTAAATTGGAAAATGGCCCACATATCCCTGTTTGGGTTGTGTATGTTGCTTTTTCTCACTTTGGAGAAGTTCATGTTCTCCCTTGAGCACATATCTTTATCTAACTTTCTTCTTCCCTCCCTTTATTTCCCAAATAAACTTGTTTTACTCAAAAAGCGGGGTGGGGTGGGGGGAATGGAGAGATAATATAGTGGGTAAGGCGTTTATCTTGCATACAACCAACACCAGTTCGAGCCCAAGTACCCCATAGGGTCCCCTAAGCCCCACCAGGAACAGAAAAGTGCTAGAGAATTCCACACAGTGTTGAAAGAAAGAAATTGGATGGAGTAGTAAATGACCAAGCCAATTGGCAGAAGTTATAACTAAACTGCAGTGAGAGGACCGGAAGGATAGTAGAAGTTAGGGCAATTGCCTTGTACCCCATAGACTCCTGTTCAAATTCCTGGCACGACATTTGGTTTTCTGGGCAGTGCCAGGGCCACTCCTAAGCACAAAACCAGGAATAGCGTCTGTATACTCCACCAGGTGTTCCCACCTCTGCCACCACCCCAAAAGAACCAAACAAATAAATTGCAGTTTATTAAGGAGGATATTCTGAATCAGCGTTTTCTCCCTGAAGACTCCTGAGATACTCGTATTAGGATTCTTTCCTTCCTTCCTTCCTTCCTTCCTTCCTTCCTTCCTTCCTTCCTTTCTTCTTTCCTTTCTTTTTTTCTGTCTTTCCTTTGACCACTTCAGCAGTCCTCCAAGTTTACTGCTAGTTCTGTGCCCACTCCTAGCAGGCTCAGGGGACTATATGGGGTACTGGGGCTCAAGCCCTGGTTGACTACATGCAAAGCAAATGCCTTACCCATTGTACTATCACTCCAGCCCCTGGATCCATATCTTGTACTCTTTAAGTATTGCATAAATAAATATGTGGTTTTACAAGGTTATCTTAGTTTGGGGGGTGGGGGTGGAGGGGTACACTCTGGCAGTGCTCAGAGGCTACTTTCAAACTTAGTGTTTGGTGATGCTCTGGGTGGTTCTTAGGGGACCCTGTGGAGGCAAGAATCAAACTTGGGTCTCCTGCACATGTATAACATGAGCTCCCTGCATGGGCATCTGATTCAGTTTTTGTACAACCCTGTAAAGAAGACATTCACATTATAGTTGATTTAGAGAAGCAGAAACTGTAGTAGAAACTGTAGTTCAGAGATACTTATAAAACTACAAATTTTATGTACCTATTTGGTTTTGGGGCTATAGCGGTGGTGCTCAGGTCTTACTCCTGGCTCCTGGTTGAGGCTTAGGAGATATGTGGTGCCCAGGACTGAACCCTAATTAGTCAGGTGCAAGGCAAGTGTTCTACCCACTGTACTATCTCTGGCCCAGCCCTTTCTTACTCTTAACTTCATCTCCCACTATACTATTTGTTCCTGCCTCTCCAGTCAAAGTGGTCTACTTCTATGCTAAACAAACCATTTACATTTCTTCAACTCCTCATACCCTCCCCTACTTAGCTTTTTCCTGTCTGAGGTGTCTTTCCCCAGTCTGTGTTTTGTTTTGTTTTTGGGGTTCCACCAGATGCTCAGGGGTTACTCCTGATTCTGCACTCAGGGACACTCCTGGTGGTGCAATGCGGGCGGGGAGAGGGGGCATATGGAATGCCAGGGATGGAACCCAGTTTGACCATGTGCAAGATAAGCACCCTACCCACTGTACTATCGCTCTGGTCCTCCCCTCCTTTTTTGTTTAAAAAGTTTACTTAGTTCGATTCTTCCACCCCTCTCAACTTTGCAAGCTACCGTGAGTATCTCATCCACACGGCAAAGCCTGGCAAGCTGCTCGTGACGTATTTAATATGCCAAAAACAGTAACAAGAAGTCTCACAATTTGTTGTGAGACATTACTGATGCCCGCTCAACCAAATCGATGAACATCGGGAGGACAGTGCTACAGTGCTATTTAGTTAAGTATGCTCAGCTACCATTTCTCTTCAGGATAAAGTTAATTTTCTGTGGTGCCCAGGACTTCCCCTTTTACAGTTTCTCTAAGGGTCATTTACTTAGTGCAAAACATGTGACTGAAAACAGCGTTCTTTAGTGAGGCCCAGGAAAAGTAGGGCCTACCCCTTAGTACAGATTCATTGTGTAACCTTGAGCAAATGATGTTCTGGATGATTCCTGGTTGAGGCAACATCCAGTTCTAGTATCCTTGGCCAGGGGTCAGTGTAGGATGGTCGGGTTCTAATCTGGCCCACTGCTTAAGTTTGTTTGGCAGAGACTGAAGAAAGAATGGAGCTGATCTTTTAAGTACCTGGGAAAAGATACTAGGAATATTTCGTGAAAATTACGTATAATTCAAATTTGTGCCTGTAAATTTAATTTGCACATGGTCACGCCCATTTATTATGTTGCAACAGAGACCTCGTCTGTCAAGTTCCAAGTTTTACTACCGGCGCCTTCCAGAAAAAGCTTGCTAAGCTGAACTTCTCCCCGGATGGTTGTATTTACCACTGGGGCGGGCTGATGATTACTTTAGCCCTTGGTCTTCGTGTTCATTATTATTAGACTAGTAGCATCTGGGTGGCAGGACTCGGAAGTGGTGCTTGGCTCACTTTTGTGACTGCTTGGAAGCCTGTTTACTAGGCCTAAGGCGAATGAAGAACCCCTGGGGTTAAAATCCCAAGGGCCTGAGACAGCCGATGCGCCTTACAGTCCAAGTTTCCAACTCCGGGAACAGGAGAAAAGAGGAAAGGCAACGAGGTTAGAATGTGATAGGATGCGAAGCACTTCCAGATGGTAGCTACGCATCTTTCCCCGCGTCCGAGCGTGGCCCGCGGAAGCACAGCGAACCAGGCGCTGCAGGGGCTCCGCGGGAGAGCGGGCGCACGGGACCCCAACAACACCGCGCACCGCTCGGAGTTCCACTGGCCGGCTGCGCGCGGCGCCGGGGCGCGGCTGTCCATCAAGGCCGCGGTGGGGCGGGGCGGGGCGGCGCTTCCGCCTGCGCTGGGCCGCTCGGCGGCGGCGGCCGGGAGAGTCGGCAACCGAGTCCGCACTGGCGGGCCGCGCGGCCGGGCGAGGGGGGCCATGGAGCTGGAGCCCGAACTGCTGCTGCAGGAGGCCCGCGAGAACGTGGAGGCGGCGCAGAGTTACCGGCGGGAGCTGGGCCAGCGCCTGCTGGGGCTGCGGGAGGCGCGGAGGCAGGTCGGAGGGCCGCGCCCGCGGGCGCCCTGGGCCCGGGGGAGGGCCCGAGGGGTCCGGCGGGTGGGCGAGGACCGGGAGGGCTCCGAGGGCTGCGGGTGTCGGAAACTCCCGGAGGGAGTAGGGGGAGACGCTCTGAAAGTGCGCGGAGCCCTGGTGGGGTCTGGGATGGGGGGAGCTGGGGCCGAGGGGGGGCACTTTCTGGGACAAGAGACGAATTTTGGGGGGACCTAGGGGGCTGTGCACGCATTCCCTAAAGAGTTTGGGGGAAGGGGGTCGGGGATGGGGGGGGGGGCGGCGAGGACTTAGATCCGAGGACTTGGACGAGAGCGAAGAACCAGAGCCCAAGACGGGGACGTCCCGGAAAGAACGGACCACGAGTTTGGGGGACGTGGAGATTCTTGGAGAGCACCTCCTGGGGATGCAGATGCGCTTTAGAGCAGGAGCAGAATGTGCGGGCAGTGATTGGGGGCAGAGCGGAGGGCGGAGGCCAAGCGGGTTTTGGAAGGGGACAACTGCCGAGCGGGAGGGGTGGGAGCCAGCTAAATGAATGGGATCTGCGCCCGAAAGCCGCGCGCTGCGGAACTAGGTGGGGGGAAGCCGCTTGGTGGGAAGCCCCATTCTCGAATTTAAGATGATGAAGGAAGGCGAGATTGGAAGGACGAAGAAGATAAACGGAGGGATGGAGCAAGGTGTAAAGGAAACGGACCAAGGTGTAGGGAAACGGACGAACGTGGAAAGTGGGGAGTGCTGAAAGGAGAAGCTAAATATATTCCCCAGCGCAGAGCAGTTATCTGGCCTCTTGGGGACCTGTTGTTGGAGATACTGGAAGGCCATCCCGGAGCCTGGACCAGAACAGATATCAGCCACTCCTAGTGCGGGATAGGACCGATAACCTGCAGGCCACGGTGAACTGCGGTGTTTCATGCTCTCTGAGGGACTGGGATTTCATCTGAGCCATCATTTGCAGGAGTGGGATTTCTCTGAAAATAGACAGCTGGTACCATAGTGCTGTGGCAGCCATGCCTTTGTGTGTGTGTGTGTATTATATTATTTGGGGTGTGTGTGAGGGGAGCCTTGCTACCTCTCTGCTGGCTCAGTTCTCTGGAATCACCCCCCCCGCCCCCCCCCATGCTGGGGACCCATACGCTGTTGGAGGGGCGGTGATGAAACTCCATAGGCATCATGCATAGCTAGTGCCTTCACACCCTGTATGTACTCTCCTCTGGCTGCCCTTGGCTATTTTCATTATTAAGGATACTCATGCTTTAGGTTTGACATAGTTTAAAATTCTCGTTTAAAAAAAAATTCCTTGGAGAGCTGATGTAAGCCAGGAATCATTTATAGTTTTAAGTGCAAAATGAGGAGTACAATTTTGATTTTTGTTTTGTTTTGTTTTTGGTTTCTCTCCAGGCCTGGAAATCTAAATATTGTTACTCTGATTTGATATACTTTTCCAATGTGTTTTCCAGTGTGTTTTTGTTTTGGGATCAGACCTGGCAGTACTCAGAGCTTACTCTTGGCTTTGTGCTGGGGGTTGGTATGGGGTACCAGTGATTGAACCCAGCCAAGTGCAAGGCAAGCACCATAAGTCCTGTGCTATCTCTCTGACCCTGGGTTAACACCTTTCAACTCATTCCTGTTGAGTCCCGTTTGAAAAAAAAATCTTCATTGTTTTATTTTAAACAGAGGTTTTTAATCTAGGACATTGTTTTAAGAGTTTAAAATATTAAAAAAAGTTTCCTTTGCTATGACTAATATTTTAGCCAGTTAGGATATCTTATGAATGTTGTTTTACTGCATCAGAAATTAGAAAGTAGTAGCATGTTGTGAAGATACTGCGTAGCACTGGAAGGCAAGCCCTGCCTCAGCTGGGTCATGGCACCCTAGATTCTCACCAGGTATAGCCCTGGATTCTCCCAGCACCACTGGGGCAATGCTCCCTCCCCCAAATAAAAAGGAAAACAATAGAGCTGACACTGAACTGATGACCCTAGTAGCTTCAAGAACTAGGATTTAATTTAATTTCTTTTTGGTTTTTGAGTGACACTTGGCAGTGCTCAGGGCATATTCTGGACTTCCTGACTGTACTCAGGTTCAATCCTGAGTGGTTAAGGTGCCAGAGATCAAACCCAGATTGGCCATGTACAAGGCAAGAGCCCTACCTGCTGTACTATCTCTCTGGACCCGACTGTACTATCTGCCTAGCCCATACTTAATTTCTTGAGTGATTTGAGTGATTTGACTGCGTTAAAAAATTTAGTATGATCTCATCCTGAATGATTTAATATTTAGTTTCCAAACCTCTGTTCTTTGTTCTTTAAAGTTTTGTATCCAATAATTTAAAAGCAGGACCCAGTTTCCTATCATTTCATTTTGTTTAGTAGGGGTTTCTGTTTGGTTTTCTCTTGGAGACTTTTTGTCTCTGGCCTAAGGTGGAAAACACCGAAAGACTGTCCGTCACAGTTAGGTTCCCGATGACATGACTTCTAAGTAGACAGAGAGTAGTTCTCTCTTGTGAAACAGAATGTGCTTTGTGCCAGTGCCAGTTCCAGCAGCATCTTTTCTCAAAACTAGTTCAAGTGGCTGGTACACATTTGGGTTTGTAAAATGAGTTCTCTGTCAACTTGGTTTTTTTTTAAAAAAAAAAAAACTTGCCTTGGAAGGAAGGTTTGTGTTACAAAAATGTTATCAAAATAAGCAGCTGCTTTTGTTTGGTGGTTAGGATATTTTTAGGCTTGCAGTCATTTTCAGAGTAACTGCATGAAAAATACATGGCTTTTTAGTAAAAGATTTTTTTCATGGGGGGAAGATGAGAGGAGCAGAGAGAAAAGACTCCTCCCCTTCCCCCCCTCTTCGTGTATTTTTCACTCTGATTTTATTTCCTTTTTGGCCTATAATTTTTTTTTCTTATTCAGACACTTGCATACTTTAAAATTCATGCTTTAAGATGTGCAGTTTTGGTGCCGGAGCAATAATATAGCATGATAGGTAGGGCATTTGCTTGCATGCAGCTTACTCAGGTTCTATCTCTGGTATCCCATTTGGTCCCCTGTGAGCACAGCCAGGAGAAATTCCTGAGCACCACGGGGTGTGGCCCAAAAAGGCAAAAAATAAAATCAAATGTGCACTTTAGCAGTTTTTAGTATAGTGACAAAGTTGTGCAATCTTCACCACTATCTAATTTCAAAACATTTTTATAACAAACACACACCCCCCTGCACCCTCAGTGTTTCTTTTAGCTGTCACTTTTCCAACCCTTGGCTACTTTTAAGCTGCTTTCTATTTCGGTTTGCTCGCTCTGGACATTTCCTATAAAATGAATCATACATTTTGTGGCTGTGACTGACTTCTTGGGCTTAACTTAATTTTTCAAGGTTTTTCCTTGTGGTGGCATGGATCTGTATGCTTTATTTCTTCTTTATGATTGAATATCTGCTGTCTGGATATGTCAGATTTTCTTTATAAATTTGTCAATTGCAGCATATTTGAGTCATTTTTACCTTTTGGTTATTAAAATGAGTAAAGGTTGCTATGAATGTTCATGTTCACCATTATTCATATACAAGCTATCTGTGGGCATGTTTTCAGTTGCAGTGTATACTCAGGAATTGTTGGGTATGGTAATAATTCTTTAATCTTTTCACAATTCTCGCCGCTCATTTTTGGGGGGACGAAGGGTTTCAGTTTGGGTCACCAAGTGGTGCTGGAAGGAGGACTACTTCTGGCTCTGTGTTTGGGGGACCCTCCCTGTGGTGCTTTGGGCGGGACCCCATGCAGTTTGGGGAATCAAACCATGGCTCCCTAAAGTTTGATTTGGGGCGCTCCATAGAGTTGACAAAGCATGTACTTCAGCCCTTTGCATTATCTCTTAGTCCTCCTATGGCATACTTTTCCTGCTTATTTGTTTTTGGACTATACATGGCTGTGCTTAGGGACCACCCTGGCAGAACTCAGGGGACCGTATATGGGGCCTGTGATTGAACCCAGTCAGCTGTGTGCAGGGCAAGTGCTTTAACCTCCATATTATCTCACTAGCCCATTTTGACAATTTTAATGTGCACATTTCATTGGCAGTGTTATAAATGTACTAAACCATCACTACTCTGTAGTTCCAGAACATTTTAAATACCACATGAGGAAGTCCTTGGTACTAAGATGTAAATACCCAGTGTCAGTTGCACCCCAGATTCCCTCCCCCCAAGCCCTGAAGCTACTAATATGTTTGTATATTCATATACTGTACTATTTCTCAAGCTCCCTTTGGTTTGCTTCTTTTTTTTTTTCTCCGCCACACTCGGAGGTACTCAGGGCTTATTCCTGGCTCTCTGTACGAGGATTACTCCTGGCAGGGCACAGGACCATATGGGGTGACAGTGATAGAACCTGGTTCAGCTATGTGCAAGGCAAGTGCCCTACCCACTGTACTATCACTCAGGCCCTTGGCATGCTTCTTATCTCTGCTTTTATCTCTTACTGTTAAATATCTCTTGTGAAATTTGTCTCGTGTTGATACATTATATATGAAAATATAGAAGGAAGAAGAAAAAAAATTTTTCAAACCATTTTGTTCAAAACAACTTTTAGCATGTAGCAGTTTCTCCTTGTGGTTAAGATTAGGCCCTCCCCCTCTGTCTTCAGAGAAAAGGAAGTTCTGTGTAGGAAATGCAGGGGTATTCTACAACTCTTACTGTTTAAATAAGTTAAAGGCTAAAGAGCTGCTTATTGTCTTCAGAAAATCAGATAATAGTTACAGCCAGCATGATCTAACTGGTGTTGAAGTTATTGAGAATTATAGTTATCTATAGCTCTCTGGAGTCCTTGGTACTAAGATGTAAATACCAAAGAAATGAACTCCCAGTCTCCTCATTTGGTCATTCACTCATTCAACATTTACTACCTGCCTGCTGCAGGTGAGGGATACTTCTGAGTCCTAGAAATACTGTGTCCTCATGTAGACTTGCTCTTTCCTTTTGGTGGCTGATTACCCCCTAAAAACAAAA